CCCCCCCCCCCCCCGATCTGCCCTTTTGTGGTGGGGAAAGGTTTGATTTTTCTAAGAAAGAAGCATAGTTTTTGCAACCTGTCAACCCACGATCATACATGTATGATGACTACAGAGCTGTGTGATGGGTAAGAGTACTGTAGTCTTTGGGAAGACTGAGATAGTTGTTGGTGGTGACTGACTTGATTACTTATGCAGTTATCCAAATGATCACACTCAATGCCTAATTTTTTTGTAAATCATTCATTCCAAGATTTTTTWAAATTCAATTTATCATTAGTTCTGGAAGTTCATTCAAGTTTTAGAAAAGATTGTACAAGTTGCTTCATTGGTGAATTTCTTGATTTTCCTTCAGAAAGGAAGGTATGTTTTAATATATATGTACACGGCTTTTAAAAAAATATTCAAAAAATAATTATGTTAAAAAAAATTATTTTAAAAAAAATGGCTAGACATTGGAAATGTTTGTCCAAAATTGCTACTTTTCAGGTCAAATGCTTCCCTTGCCAGTCATTTTGACCAGTACATTGAACCAGAAATGACATACAGTACGRCTAAGCTAAAACTTATTTGGCCTGTGACCATGGCCGGTGACCGATCTGCTGTTATTTTAAGCCCTGATTTACACACAGACCTATTTTATTGAGGGAATCAAGGGTAGTATAGCAGAAGTGCACTCACCTTTCATCTCTGGGATCTCAGATTTTATTCCTTTACTGGGCATCACATTTCAGCAAAGTGTAGTGGAAATCAAAGGTTGTAGCATGGTAGAGGCRTTTGCTTATGTTCCCAATGTAGCAAAATAGCTGACGATATATCTTTGACACTTCATCTAATGGTATGTGGCGTGCACTCCATATCCTAATGAATATTAAAATCTGGTTTAGATTTCAGTCTCTTTTGGAAAGGTTTCTTGGAATTCACCATGTTTTTGAGAAAMGACAATCAGTGAGACAGGTATGTACATGTAACCAAATAAGTTTACTCTGGAAGATTACTGAGACATTTGTATAATATTAAAGTCAGGGCTTTCAGAATAAGCCAGTAGCCACAGGAACTCTGGCAATTGCTTCAAWGTTAATCACCAGCTACTTTTTCTTTTCTATAAMATATATTCTGTTTCTTGTATGACCACCGCCTACTCCAAAACATTCYCCAAAAGCCCTGTTAATGTTCKTGCAACTTCAACAATACAAAMACTTTGMAATTCCATTGACYTTCACTGAAACAAATGAATGTTCTGCACWAAATTRAAGCCAACTCTGAGCAACAGAGCAMTCRAAACTGGKGTATTCAACAGTACAACACACACAGTCTATCAGAAATGGGAAARCATTGCAGAGCTTCAGAGTTCATAATATATGCTTTCTTTCTTCTGTCACAGGTCAGCTTTGAGTTTATGACACGGGAGCTTCTTTGGCATGGCTTCGCAGTAAGAAAATAATTTAAGTTACAMTCATACTGTATTCTTTGATGTGCCACCTGCCTGCAATTTCATTGGACTAAAAGTTTGGTTTTAGTTGCCTGTAAATCAGGCTGTTCAACTGCATTCCTAAACCC